TAATCTTATAAATCTATCAAATCAAAACTGCTGATTCTTGGTATCAACAAGCTAATCTCTGTTTTGTATTTTTATTCTTTGTTGATTGTTTAGCTAATGCATGTTGAAGAAAAAAAACAAAATGCTTGTGCTAGATTTCTTTTTATGACCAAGACATTCATCATTTCAACTAGGCTGTATACCACCTTTCCAGGACAAGCTTATGGCTCTCATTGATCCTAGAGGTCAAGTGTACTATGAAATTTTCCATAACATGATGTAAGACCTGAAAAAAGACTGTAATGTTGTAAACTTCATTTTCTTTTAACAGAGAAGGCAGAGGTGTGTGGTAACTACATGAACATGATTTGGGTCAGTCTCACTGGAGAAACTTTGTATCCAGTCTTTTGTCTTTCTGAAGTGACATTTGACAAAGTTCACTTTCCTGTCCTACAGTGCTAAGGCACAGCCCTATAGACCAGAGGTGTTTTTTACGAGCCTCAGGAATCTTTCCAAGCTCAATAATTGCACGCAAACAACATTAATTGGTTATTGAAATCCCTGAGCATCATTCTTTCACAAGTGACAAACGCTGATGCAGGACCATGCCACACACATTTATTATTTATCTTATGTGTTTGAGGTGTGTACTGTCTTCACAGTTGGCAACACACACTTCATAAGACGACAAAAAAAGGATCTGCACAAGGAAGTTTTGTAAAAACTTCTTCAAGATGTGGAAGCGAATGCCAGCCAACAGCATGGCTTCTTTTGCTTTCCTCAGTTTTTTCCACCATCAGCTTGAGAAAGTTTAAATCCTTCCCACAAACTGTCTCTCATTGTAAAAGGTAGACAGGATTGTATGGTGAAATACTGCTTCGTATTTGAATTCTGTGGTTCTTTTGAATGGCTAAATGCTGCATCACACCATGTAATCAGAATCTGTTTTGTGGTATAGCACGGCTGTGCGACTGCACTGAGCCTATTAACTGCTTTCATGCTTGATGACAGACCTCTGACTAATTTGAAAGTACATAAACAATACAGAGTTTGCAGTTATACAATATTAACCAGGAGGCTCGTTTATGAGCAGGCAAGCTATTACAGGAATTCAGTTCCTTGAGCAGCCAATGAGACAGATAATCTAAGTTTAGTAACTCACAAGTCCCTAACACACAAGTAAACAGATACAGGTACTGCTGAGACTGCACAGTGTTCACTCAATAGCCTCTTGCTGTCATTTTGGTGAGGTAAACTCTTAACAACACAGGACACAAAATCCTGCAAAGATACAGCAAGACAGAGAAAGATACAGCTGCTCTCAGGAAAGAATACAGACCAACACACAAAAGAAAAGTCACCAGATCCAAAAATACCTGGTTTTGCTTCCAAACATTGCAGTAACACTCTCAATCACCTTGTTCAACTACTGCAAAATCTCAGATGTAAGAGTCGAGTTTCTAATTAACAGTAAGTTACAGCTAACTGAAATCATTGCTCTAAAGGTCACCCACTTAAAAGGCTCCTCTTCCTCTGTGCCAGCATACCCTTATCACTGAAGAAAGTGTTACAGATCAGAGCCCCAAAGCCAGTTACACAGATTTTGCCATGTGGTGATTCCCCTGTGGAAAAGCACTTACGGTACTGTTACGGCATCAGTGCACAGTGCATGCAGATGGATTTAAAGACCCAACAGAACCTGTACACTGTGTTCATATATGCCGAGTATAAGTCAGTGGATAAACTGTTGTAGTGCTGTCGGCTCGCTTGTAACACGCCAGTCAGCACTGGCTAAAAGAAGAAAAAGAGGAGGGCTATCCCCCATGCCAGTCAACACAATAACAGGAGATGAACCGTGTTCACACGTGAAACTAATGCACGCAAGCCTAAAGGAACTGGATTTCACACTGTAATCCTTGCTGTTTTTTCTATCCCAGTTGCACTAATCTTAAATGGGAAAACTACATAAACTCTTGTCTATTTAAAGCTATACTTGCTGAAGACTGCTCTGACTATATTAAAAAAAATTAAGGCCTATAATAGTTTTCAGCAGTTTAGCTTAATCCTAATGTTCTTTGCAGCAGATAGAGACAGTGTCTAGTTCCAGTAGCTGAGTTATTTATTTTGGCTAAAATTTTGGCTAAAATGTCTCCTGAAGATGAATCTGGCATCTCCTCTGACATCAAAGAAGGAAAAGGACGGACTAACAAAAGGAACATCACCGTAATGTTATCCTTCAAAAGTACTGAAGAGATTCTTATGGAGTGTTTCCAGAGGTTAAAAAGTTTTACCTGTGCTTCCTATTTGTAAATGGAACAGCAAATCATAGATCATCAACCATATGCTATTGTCAAGCATGTCTTTGGGTTACAAAGCGAGCCGACAGCACTACAACAGTTTATCCACTGACTTATACTCGGCATATATGAACATAGTGTACAGGTTCTGTTGGGTCTTTAAATCCATCTGCATGTTATCATTAGAGCTCTTGGTATGAGGCCGAGCACTGAAACACATTGCTTATATTTATATTTTCTTGAAGGTTCTTAATGCATTGTATTACATTTCAATTATGAAAATAGAAATTTAAGATGATAACATATTTTGATACAAGGCAAAACCATATAATTTGCTAAAAAGTCCTGGGCATTACACTGTAGAACAAAAACACCAGTTTGTCATTATGTCTCATTCTTCAGTGTTCCTTCTACACTTGCTCCAAAGAGACACTTAGTAAAGGAGCAGTGAATTATCAGATACAAGTTAATATTGTTAATGTTGCATCAGCATATCCCAGAATTACTTGAGCAGTGCTACAATATTCTAGGAGATAGTTTGTCACCAAGAACGTACCATATAAAATCTCTCACAAAAGGCAAATTAGTTTAACAATAGGTCAGAAGAAGAAAAAATAAATCTGGAGAGGTTGCAAACTATGACTTAATGGCTACAACAGGGCATTTTGTTAGTGAAGTATTATTCATAAATCATTCTGTGTCTTAATACTGAATGCTACATGATAATTGAAAGATAACCAGTGTGCTGCAAATCTATTTACAAACAAGATTTGTGTTTGTATTTAGGAGTTCTTTGCTTTCTACATCTGTGTTGTTACCAATAGCTGAAGAAAAGAACAAACATGTTTTTGACTTTTGTGGGAGGGAATATATGTATACGCTTGGGGAAATTTGAGTCAAGTAGTTGCATAAACGTATACATAAACACTGCTAAAAGCAGATTTTAGTCCATTATCCTGCAATCTTAAATGTCAAGAAACAGAAGCAAATTGCAAATTAAACAGTTCAACAATATAAAGACTGGTGCACTGAGTAACGGCCAAAGACTTAAGGAGCATTCATCCATCTAACAGAATCTAACAGCTGTTATGGTTCATACATCAAATATTTTAAAAACTCAGAATAAACTGATTCTACATGAAAGTGAATTAATTGAAGTTGAATTAATCAAGAATCTGGACTAACACAATCATCTTCCTCATGACAAGCAGATAAAATATTAGAATTTTAAGTAAAAGCACATTATATTGCATCACTTCATGAAGTAAATCTGCCAATTGTTCAGTAAAAAAAATCTAAACCAAACAGCATATCAAGGAGACAAATATACTGTATGAATAAAATTAAAATTTTTATAAATCCTCAAGAGAGACATGCAAATAGGAAAATTTGAGGGAGCAACATGCTCCATTTTCATAGGTAAACTGCATCTAAATAATTATGTGTTTGGCTCTGTTAAAACTGTCTAAATCTAAAATGGAATTAAATTATAAATGTTGTTCTTGTAAGAACTAGCCTTTGACTGTCTAAACACTTCCCTGCATGGCCTTTTTCAATACCTTACTGTTTTCTGAAAACATGCATCAGTATTTTAAAATCTATTCTCTGTCAACAAGCATTTCTCCCCATTTAAGAAACATCAAAATGAGCTCATTCATTGGGTCACAAACTTAAAACAAGATGAAAGAAAGAATCTTTCTCTCTTCAGTACGAATCTTGCTTCCCCTTAACCTCCCCCTGCAAGAGGAGAGGAGAGGATGAAAATAAATTTTTTTTTAACGGTTCCAACAGTGAAGAAGATATTAAGTTTTGGAAGACAGACCTTTGAATTTCTTGAAGAAAATCAATTTTGATCTTACTGCTTTATCAGGCTTCTAAATTCCCCTTACATCCATTTTGCCATAAATTTCTTATAGCTAAGACAACCATTATTTGCTGTTTCTCTGAGCATCACATAATTCATAACTTCTGTGCTCTAACACAAAAAATATATCCAGAAAAAAAATGGAAGCTCTCTTTTAGACTTAACTCTGTTAGGCATATATACAGAGAAATGTTCCAAATTAATGAGAGGGTTAAAAAGGGTTTTAGCCTTTCTTTTTTGCTACTTGCCCAGAGGCTTATGTTGAATTTTACATACTAAATGTGTAATCAAGCTTAGAAAATTGAAAGTTAGATGATTTGAAATTAATTTATATGTATGTTAAAAGAAAATATAATAAAAATGAAGATATTTCATTCTGGACCCAAGTGCTTAAATACAAAAACCCAAAATCTTAGGCCAGTGCTAGAGAACCCTCAGAAGAAAAGAACTGCCTACAAAGTTATTTCTTCATACTTATTGAAAACTTTTTAAATTTAAAACTGGACTTACTTCTAGCTGAGCTGCTCTGGCTGGAACTGAACAACAGATCAGCCTAAAGAATCACAGTGCTTGTGTCTGGTCTTAAGAAAAACAAACACACTACTGTTCACACAAATAGAAAATAAGATGAAAAACATTTTGACAAAAAGCAGACAAAATTTTTCTTGTTCTGAGAAGGCTGCAGAAAGAGAAAGTGAAGTTTTTGTTCTGTGGAAACTAGACTCAAACAGTGGAAGAAAAACTTTCAAGGCAAAACTATATCCCCCTTTAGAAAGGCAAACTAATAAGCATGTATTATTAGAAATCCAGAAAGTAAGTTTGGCTTTTTTAATGAGATTTTTTGTGTCATATAGTCTTACCTTTCTCTGTTAAATTTCAGAGAATGTAGGATAGCTGGCCGTTTCTGTCGGAGATTCCACAAATGAAGTGCATCATCTGCACTTGCACTGACCAAAGCACCCTAGAGCAGACACAAGATACAACACAACATATTACTTTTCTGCAGATTCTGTCTTATTCTTAAATGATCTTCACTGTTAATGATCTACCTGTAGAAAATGATAGAGTTCATGAAAAACGGTTGCTTTCTTCTAGAAAAAATATATTCTACCATAAATAATAGTCAATTTGAATTGATCTGGTAAATGTAAATATTTTAAATTAGTACAAGATCAGCCAAAGTTAAATTAAAACTCCATCAATTTAAAATGTAAATTAAAGCTTTGTACCAAGGTTATACATGTGAACTCTCATGTATTTCCACATAAGCATAGAGATTAACAAAAAGGAGAATAGACAACACTTACTTAAAAAGGTGAGCGTGAAGGATTTAACTAAAGGAAAAAGGGATTAGTGCACCCACCCACCCACCCACCCACACAAGTGACAGTGCCAAGCACAGTTCAGTAGTCATATCAACAACATGAAATTCAAAACCGGAACGGTGAAAAGAAGATGCAGATAAGAAAGTAGGGACAGGTAGCAGGGAGAGAGGACCTAGGAAGAACTAAGAGATGTAGACAAAAGGACAGTGTCTTTATCACAGATCAGAAATACTCTGAAGACTGGTTCTGCTTCTGGTGCCCCAAAAATGGACATCTTCCAAGGTCCAGACCTCTATGTGCCTGGACAGCTTGAAGTAAACTTATTCTTTCTCCCTCCTACTGTCTTTCTCTTCACCATGGAACAGTGATGCCATGAGAATATGGACTGCAAAGGAAGCTCTCTACTGCTCCTGCAGTGGTTTACTACATTTACACCTCAGATCAGGTCTAGTACAAAGGATCTATCCCTGTGTATTACTATGGCAGAGAGGAACCAGATATTGCCCAAACAGAAGGCAGTGCTTTATTTTCAGGAAGGGCGAGAATGTAACTGAAAGATCAGTTCATACCAACTATGACTGACCGATAAACTTCTCTTTTTGCATCTTGGATTTCCTTTCTAATCCTAGCAACTGTTCTTTTCAATGTTGACATATGCAAATGAAATTTATGAAGGTGAGACTTCTCCAATACAGTGTAATCCATGCTTTAATTCTCATCTCCCAAAGAGTTTGGACCAATGTCAGAGAGAATCTCCACCACAGAAATAAAATTAATCCCATGTATTAGGGGTTCTGCTGGTCACCTAATGAAAAGAAAGAACACTGATTCAAAGCTTGGCCTCCCTGTTTTCATCCCTGCCTTCCTCGAAAGAATTCCACTGGACTGATTGTTTCTAAAGTTTCATTTCTCCCTCCTCAGTTTCTGTGGTTCAGGTACTTTCTCCAAACAGGTATAGAAAAAAAAAAATATTTCCCAGGTTTAAAAACCCACAAAACTAAAACTCTTTCCTTGAGAAGCTCTAAGATCTCGATGCCTAGAAAGAGGACTTGAAACTGTCAAAAGTGTTTCCTTATATTATGGGAGAAAATTAATTAAAACTGAACTACAACTAGCTTATAATTTGGCCAAATTATGAGGTTCTAGAAAAAAACCCAGATTTATATGCTCCAGAAAGTCTTCTTGCCTATTACCATCTCCAGAGATCTTCTGCACAGAGCGAGCTATAATCTGTCACTGTTTCTTCACGTTGTCTAAACTTGATTTCAACAAATCATTTACAAAGACTAGGCATGCTGCTTTGATTGATGACCCCTGCAAGTGCTTTTCCTTGCTTCAGGTAGTAGCATATCCCCAACTATTGAGCTTTCAGCCAACAACCATCAATATCTTTCCATAGAAAGATTTAGCTCATTTATTCATTTCTATTTGAAATGGGACTGTGCAGCATATTTAGTAATTTAATGGATTTTACATCTACCTGCACATATTCATATATTGACTGCCTTTTGTTCAGTACTTTATACTGATGTATGTGAAGGGAATACTTTTCCCTGCGTGCAGTCCCATAAATAGTCTTCTAAAAGGCTGCATGGTGAACGTCCTCTGGATGTATGCCACTTACTTGTTGGCACAACGTGAAAAGTTTTATCACTCAATTACAATACATGAATTGACTTATTCAACTAAATTTATATAGAAGAATCTGAGTAAATATGTCCTTACCTCATTGATTAAGAACTGGAGCTGCAGGACTGCAGCACCACTTTCATGTTGGCAGTAGCAATCAACACCAGGCCTGCCCAATCTGTTGCCATCAAAGTCAAGGATTCTAACATCCCTGTTATCACCAGAAGTAAAGAGGGGAAAAAAAAGAACTACCAATTAAACTCTAATTAACCTTTAATTAACAATTCTTCTTGCTTTCTGTAAAACAAAAGAATTCATGCTGACTTTGCACTGTTCTAATTAAAGTACCAACATCATCAGGCTGAAACACGTGCAATTGTGAGTGATCTGTTCTTGCCTGTTTTTTTTGCCTGTGA